GATGCCTCTGGAAATTCCTGGTCACCAAAGCTGCTGCACAAGTTCACGGACGTTGTGTGGCACGTGAGCTGGTCCATTACAGCAAACATTCTTGCAGTGTCTGGAGGAGACAATAAAGTGAGTGCTGCCGTCGGGCTTCCACTCTTGCATGCCCTGTTTACATGAGACAGGGTGCTCTGCTACTTCAGTTGCTTCCATAAAGGCTGTTGCAGATTGGTATTTGATTGCTGTGAGGGTGGTTTTTTTTTTTTTGACTTATCAAAGGGGAAGGGAGGAAGACTCTTCCCCTTGGTAAACTGCTTGCACTGCATTTTGTTTTAGCGCTTGCTGGTGATTGAAAATGCAAATTTAAGATTATCTTGTAGGATAGTCATATCACTATTCACATCCTGTTTTCTTATCACTGCATGACTCGTTAGTATAGACTGGTAAATAACTTCATACAGAAGTTGAATGCTGCAGGGTTTTTCTATATAACTGTAGCCCATCACCAAACCAGTGGTGAGGTGAGAGTTGCAAGGACCTGTGAAGGGGAAAGTTATTATAATGTACTGAAGCCAAAATTTCTGATCTGTTCTTGAGGTCACGCTCTGGAAGGAGTCGGTGGATGGGCTGTGGGCCTGCATCAGCGACGTCAACAAGGGCCAAGGAGGAGTGTCTGCCGCTGCCGAGGGGCAGCAGAACGAGCAGTGAGGAGGGGTCAGCAGTGCTGCTGCAGCAAGTCATCCTTGTCCCTGATTTGTAATGTCCTGAACCCAATGAGAACTGCTTTTAATCTAAACTGGACATGAATATTTGGAAATAAATATTCAGTTTTATGATCACGCTATATCATTAATGGGAGGCTACACTGTGTTTATGATGAGCCTTAATTGACATTCCCTTAAATTAAAGGTAAAGAGCATAGTAAAGCACTGTGTCACGCTACTCCTTGCTGCTGTAGCCGCCGCGGCCTCCTCCCGGGGCAGCGCTGGGCCTCGAGCCTCCCTCGCGGGGCCTCCCTTGGCAGGAGAATCCCCAGCCCGGCCCTGCTGGGGGCCGAGGCCGTACCCGCCCCGGGGCTCCGGGCAGGAACGCGGAAGGAGGCGCCGGCGGCTGCGCTCTGCTTCCCTGCAGGAGGAGGGCCGGAGTAAGGTCTCCTGCTTTACACTTATCTCAAACTTGGTTATTTAAACCAGAAGTCATCAAAACTTATTTCGAAGGGGTTTTTTAGACATTCTTCTGTACTGTACTTTTTTTTTTAAGATACCAATAAAATAAAGTCTTACTGGTAAAAGCTGGTGTACACTATTATTAAATAATACTTCTACAGGGCCCTTATCACAACCTTCTGCACCGTCTTTCTGACATTCCACTGTGCTTTTTCCCCTGTTCCACAGTATTATTTTTCTGAATCGTTTAACAGTAGTGGTAGTCAGCAGGGGGCTAATAGCTTCCCACCTTAAAAAGAGGTGCCTGAAGAGAGCAGAAGGCAGCACCTCCGTCCCCTGCACGGGAGGGGGAGATGGGGCTTACGGAGCTAGGGCAGCATTACCAGAGAGCAAAGCTTCAGCTAGGCTGCTGCGGGTGCTCACTGCAATTCAGGCAAGACTGTTATACCCTGCAGCCCGAATTTCAGTATCCCTTCACCCGAACACACTTTTCAGGTAGCTTTCCTCACCTGTAGTGGGTAAAGCACTCGGCCCGAGGGTCGCGCTTCCTCTCCGCTCTGCCGTTGCTCTGGAACAGCCACCAGCTGCGTCACGGCCTTCCTCTTTCTCCACGGAAATTGCTCCTGCCTGTGCTCTGGTTTTGGTACGTTTCAGATAACATACCCCATTCCCTTCCAGAAAGCTGCCCTCACTTCATGATAGCTGTGTATACTAACCAAATAACATCCTAGCTTAATTCACGTATGTGTTTGAGAGGTATCTTTTACCAGCCAACAAGAGTATTTCCATTCTTGTTTAAATGTTCTGTAGCCTTGTCCCTCCGTTTTCCCCCTCAAAAAAAAAAAACCACCTCAAAATCCACATTATTACATTCGCACAGATCCTTTTCAAAATAAACAGCAAAGAAGCGTTTTCTTTAACACGGTAATAATGACATACCAAGGTGACTAAACAGCTTCTGAGTGCATATGTCCTTACATTTTATGATTTTTGATACTTAATAGTTCATATTTAATCAGCAGCAAGGTCTAATTCAGGAAATAGTTCATCTAATGCAAATTTAAACATTAGGTGAGAGTTTCTGAATTGCTCTTCATTCAATCTTCATCATTAGGATTACAAAGTTTCTAGCATAAGAAGTCTCACAATGATGGCCAAAAATAACTGTGGTTGCTTTTTTATTTTAAATCCAAGGGACTTGCCACACTAATTTAGATGGGTTTTTGCATAGATCAATACCTCGCATCTCTGTTTTCTTCACTGATTTGGAGTGCTCATCATCTTAATGACACAGAATACGATAAGCTGAAGCCAAATTCCTGCAAGCTACAGGCGACTGGTCTCCCAATCGCAGTAATTCAGGAACTGCGGAATTCTGGGCCCAGACCAAAGCAATGCGCTACAAAAAGGGGCCTCTGCTTCCTCATCGCCGTTTCGGATGAAGAGGGCGCGAGGATCTAGCTCCACCAGCAGTTCCTGAGCTGGGTTCCTGGCTAGAGGCGACACCTCTGCTTGCCCTGGGCTCCCTTAGCACGAGTTTTACCAGCCCAGCTGGACTGTGTGTGTGTTGACTGGGAAATGCTACAAAAACGGATCAGGTCGCAGATCTGCTTTACAGCACAGCCACACAGCGTCTGAAATAACCCACCTAGAAAGCGGCCACACGAGACGGGGACGCAGGGACCCTCTTAAATCAAGTGCAGCAGAAAAGAGAACGGACCTGCATCCCGGAGAGGAACAGGACTCGGGGGAGAACACGGTAGGGAGGAAAGGCACTTACGGAAAAAAGGAGCAACATAACTTTCACCACAGGTCTCTGTTTCCATTGCACCGAATAATAATTAAAATGTTATTTTCCCCTCTTTGAAAAAAAAAAAAACCTTACATCCACTAATTTATTTTAAAAAGGAAATGTTAACACAGGAAAAAGAAGTGGAAACTTCAACTTCTTTGCCTACACTTTTTCATTATATGTAATCTCTTTATAGGTAAGGGGAAATGCAGCAACAGATCTATGCGCTATTTTCGCTTTTTGTTGATTTTGTTATCATATAAGCAGACGAAGCTTCCCAGGAATTCAAGGACATATCAGATTGCATTCCCAGTTATACTGTAGCACAGAACAAATACTGCACTTGGTATATAAAGCACGTAAAAAAGCGGCCGTTTGGTGAAAGGACTAAGCGGGGCAGGTGAAGCTCCTGACAGTCTTGTCCCTTCTCCTGTCCAGGTCGTCTCTGCCGGCCCACCTGCCTCAGCTGCAATATCTTAGTTACAGAAGAAAACACGGTAAGCATCAGTCTTTCCTCGCAGTGTTTTTACTTTTAACATATAAATATTGTATTGCTTTTATACATCCAACTTTATAAACAAGATTTTCAGGACAAATTTTGTCATTGGATCTGGATTCAATTAACTGAACAGAAATATTGCAAAATAGGTTTAACCTTCCAACCTGTGTTTCCAGGTTTGACAGAGTTTTGCTGAAGAAAACCATGTTACTGAGAGGGGCCCTGCTTGGCATTCTGCTCCTCAGTGCTCTCTGGGCAGAAACTGTTCTGGCTGGCTCTAGCTTTTTAAGCCCTGAATATAAGAAATTACAGGTAAAAGATTCCGAATAAGACTTTTCAAACATGTCCTTCTCTAAGAGATCTTTAAAGCAAGATTCCTTGCAATGTTCAGAGATGCCTTTAGAAGTTACAGATTCTGAAAAAGGAAAGAATTGTGCCAGGGAACCTCTATAACAAACTATTAGCACTGTTGATGTGCTTGAGAATTAAGATTAATCTCATTAGCAAGAATTAATAATCTCAAAAGGAAAGATTAGAGATAAAGTAGCCATTTAATTTGTTAATTTGTTAACAGCGTCTTTTAAAAAAAATGAACTGGTAGGGGGGTGTTCTGTAAGGAACTCTTAAAACAAATTCCTTTAAAATGAAGGCAGTAACAGCAGTATAATTATTATGGACCTATGGCTTTAAAAGAACTCCGTGATGCCTTCCACTGTCTTGCTGCATCTGTTTTAATTACGGATTCTAACTTCTCTGGACTATGGAAATAATATGTAGATGTTATTTTCTTGCTTTCCAGCAACAAAAGGACTCAAGAAGGCCACCACCACCAACCACCACCACCACATTACACCGCCGAAGCCGAAGCATGGGAGGTTTTTCAGACGCAGATGAAGCATGGACAGAAGATGGCAGTAACGGTGTGGAAATTAAGGTTTGCATTTTTCCTCTGCAACATACACAAGTTTAAGAGCTGGGGGTGGTGGCAGGAGGGAGAATAATTTGCACCACATGAAGTAACACAAGTGAAAACTACTTTCATATTCAATTTGAAAGGCAAGTAGGAAAAGGCACATGAAAACTGCATGCACTGATGACTTGAAATAATTTAAAACTGACTGCAGTAAATCAGATCAGAATCTCCTACTAATGATTCACTTAAGTTTTGAAAATTGCTAATAATGGAGTTTCTTCTAAAGCTTTATTTTCTCTATTTTATTGAGCAGTTTGTGCTGCAGTAGCTCTACTCCCCATTTCTCAGATTTTGATTTCATGTCTCAATACTTGCAAATTAATAATAGAACAACCTTTCATGTAGCTTGCTTGCCAGTGTTCCCATTAATAAAATTAATCTGCAATGTCCTTGTCCAGGAACATTTGTTTAATTTTTGCTTTTCATGTTTTTTTACAGTTTAATGTTCCCTTTGAAATTGGTGTCAAGCTAACAGAAGAGCAGTATCGGGAATACGGACAGACGCTGGAGAAGGTGCTCGAGGATATTCTCCAGGAGAACACTAACGGTACTAACAACCAAAGCTCCAAAGCAAAGATTTAAAAACAAATGATCAGACAAAAAATTAAACCTTTTTGCCATCTAATCAGTCATTTAAAACATCCAAAACAATTTCCCAGCTGCGTTCAGCTAAATAAGACCCTCACACTTTTCATGGGGAAGGTTGTTACTTATGTAGCTGGAACTAAGCTAATTCTAGCTGATTTCACGGGAAACTGAGGTTCAAATGACCAAATCTCACCCGCAGCGGGCAGGTTTGCACCATCGGGGCCCTTGGTCCTTCACCTGCCCTCGCTCTCGTTCCGCTGCCCTTCCTGGATCTCTCCTACTCCTTCCAGCAGTCCCTGGCTCCGTAATACCCGCTGCAGCCGGCGGTCCCGCTGCGCTGCCCAACATCCCACGGGACGTGGCTGGGCCGAGGCCGCCTTCTCGCCCGCCCTCCTCCGAGTTCTTCCAAAAAAGAACAAAAACTATCAATTTAGATCCAAAACTACTATCAAATATTAAAGCTAACACTAACTTTTCTCTTTTGCATTTTTAGAAGCTCAAGCGAAAAACTGAGGCAAGCTGAAGGACAAAGCCGTCACCCACCCTATTCTGTCTGAAATGTTTCAAGTTTTATTCTAAAATAAAACTACTATTTATTTCACAACTATAAGAAGGGATGATGTATGTGAGCCTGGACAGGTTGCGCTGATGAAGACGCTAGCGGGTAATCATCTTTGACAGAATACAGAGAAGAGCAGAGGGGAAGGTGGTGCCAGGCTGAGAAGTAGACTTGCTTTGTCATCTTATTGGGAAAAATGTGATTATTATAAATTTGAAAGCTGTATGAATCCATTGTAAAACTGATGGAAACTCTTCTCATTCTTCTATACTCATCTGTAATACAATAAAGCTTATATTGAAACTGCATTTACTTGTTATAACTTTTAAGAACAGATCAAACTAGATATTTAATGTAAAAATAGAGAACAAACTACACACACATATGGAATCATCTTCCAGTTGCCAAACTAGTTGCTAAATTACCAAGGGATGTGTTAACATATGTTAACATAAGGAAATTACCCAATATCTCTTCAAGGCAAAAAGCAATTTTTTCAGTTAAGTCCTTTGGATTCAGAATCACATCCATATTGGTGCTAGACAGCAGGGAACGAGGCAGTTTTCATGCCTACAAACGTGTACAGCAGGAGCGCACGTTCTGTCCATGGCAGTTGAGCGCTGCCGAAAGCCCCGGCTGCCGCCC